AAAACGAGTCTCAGGAAACTTAATAAAATCAAAATTATACTAAGTATTTTATCTGACCACATTGGAATAAAATTAGACATCATAACAAATGGCACATTTGAAACTATGCAAACACATAAAAATTAAACATGTTCCCGAATGACTAATGGGTGAAGGAAAAAATTAAGAATTAATTTTTAATTTTTCTTGAAATGAATGAAAGTAGAAATACAGCATACCAACACCCATGTGACACAGCAAAAGCAGCATTAAGAGGAAAGTTTACAGCAATAAATGCCTGCATCCATCAAATAACTAGAAAAATTTCAAATAAACAATCTAATGATGCACATAAAGAAAAAAATAGCATAAAATGCTTGAAAAAAAGCATGAAAGAAAAGCATAAACAAATCAAACCCCAAATTGGTAGAAGAAATAATAAAGATCAGAACAGAAATTAATAAAATTGAGACTAAAATAAATACAAAAAAATCAACAAAACAATTTATTTTCTTTGAGACAGAGTTTCACTCTTGTTGCCCAGGCTGGAGTGCAATGGTGTGATCTTGGCTCACTGCAACCTCTGCCTCATGGGTTCAAGGGATTCTCCGCCTCAGCTTCCTGAGTAGCTGGGATTACAGGCATGTACCACCATATCCGGCTATTTTTGTATTATTAGTAGAGATGGTGTTTCTCCATGTCTCAAACTCCCAATTTCAGGTAATCTGCCCACCTCAGCCTCTCAAATTGCTGGGATTACAGGTGTGAGCCACCACACCCGGCCTGTTTTTTTTTAAGATAAACAAAATTGACAAACCATTAGCTAGACTAACTTTGAGAGAGAGAGAGAGAGAGAGAACCCAAATAAATAAAATCAGAAAATGAAAAAGGAGACATCACAATGGATAGTACAGAAATATGAAAGATCATTAGAGACTACTATGAATAACCATATGCCAATAAATTTGAAACCAGGGAAAAATAGATAAATTCACAGACACATTCAATCTACCACGTTTAAACCAAGAAGAAACAAAAAACCTGAACAGACTAAAACAGGTAACAAGATTAAATGAGTGGATAAAACATCTTCTAAAAAATAATGATAATAATAATAAAATAAAGCCCAGGACCAGATGGCTTTACTGCTGAATTCTACTGAACCTTTAAAGAAGAATTAATACCAATTATTCTCAAACTATTTGGAAAAATTAAAGCAGAGGGAATTCTTCTTAATTCATTTTATGAGACCAGTATAACCCCAATATCAAAATAAGGACACAATAAAAGAAAACTACAGGCAAATATCCCTGATGAACATAAATGTAAACATCCTCAATAAAATACGAATAAACCAAATCCAAAGTCACATCAAAAAGATAATACGCTGATCAAGTGGGATTTATCCTAGGAATGCAAAGATGTTTCAACATATAAAAATCAATAAACATCATATTAACAGAATGAAGGACAAAAAAGTATGATAATCTCAATACATGGAAAAGCTTTTCATAAAATTCAATATTCCTTTATAATCAAAAACTCTAAATATATTAGGTATAGAAAGAAAGTACCACAATATAATAAATGCATATAACAAACCCACAGCTAACATCTTACTCAACTGGGAAAAACGGAAAACTTTTTTAGAACTGGAACAAGACAAGGATGCCCACTATCACCACTCTTATTCAACATAGTGCTGTGTGTTCTAGCCAGAACAATTAGGCAAGAGAAAGAAAGAAAGGATATCCAAATTGGAAAGGAGGAAGTCAAATTGTCCCTGTTTGCAGACAACATGACCTTGTACATGGAAAAACCTATGGACTCTACCAAAAAACTTTCAGAACTGATAAATTCAGTGACGTTGCAGAATACAAAATTAACATACAAAAATCAGTCGCATTTCTATACACGAACAACAAACTATTTAAAAAAGAAAATAAAAAGCAATGCCATTTATTCCCAGGAATAAATTAACCAAGGAGATGAAAGACCTCTTCAAGGAAAACTACAAAACACTGATTAAAGAAACTGAAGAAGATACAAACAAATGGAAATGTATCCCATGCTCATGGGTCAGAAGAATTACTATTGTTAAAATGACAACAGTACTCAAATCAATCTACAGATTCAGTGCAACTCCTATCACAATACCAATAACATTCTCTACAGAAATAGAAAAGAAATTCTAAAATTTGTAAGGAATCACAAAAGACTCCAAATAGCCAAAGCAATCCTGAGCAAAAAGAACAAATCTGCAAGTATCACACAATCGGACCTCAAAATAGATTACAAGGCTGTAGTAACCAAAACCACATGGTACTGGCATAAAAACAGACACATAAATCTATGGAACAGAATTAAGAACTCAGAAATTAATCTATGTATCTATAACCAACTGATTTTTTACAAGGATACCGAAACACTCACTGGGAAAAGGACAGTCTCTTCAATAACCAGTACTGGGAAAACTGGATATCCATATGCAGAAGAATGAAACCAGACTCCCACTTCTTACCTTGTATAAAAATCAGCACAAAATGGATCAAAGACCTAAATGTAAGACCTGAAATGATAAAACCAGTAGAAAAAAAAACATAGGGGAAATGCTTCAGGACATTGGTCTCCGAAAAGATTTTATGAATAAGACCTGAAAAGCACAAGTAACAAAAGCAAAAATAAACATATGGGGTCATATCAAACCAAAGGCTTCTGCACAACAAAGGAAACAACAACAGTGAAAAGACAACCTAGCAGGATGGTAGCCAGGGAAGTCGGAATCCGCTAAAGAGTGTGTAACAACTCACCTGCCGAATTAAAAAAAGTAATAAAATAAAAATAAAATAAATTAAAATTTAAAAAAAATTTAAAAAGAAAAGACAACATACAAAATAGGAGAAAATATTTGCAAATTGCTTATCCAATAGATTAATATCCAGAATATACAAGGAACTCAAACATCTCAACAGAAAAGAAAAAATCCAATTAAAAATCAGCAAATAATCTGAACAGAGATTTTTCAAAAGAATACATATAAATGGTCAAGAAAATATGCAGAAATGTTTGACATCAATAACCAAACCACAATGAGGTATCATCTCACTCCAGTTAGAATGGCTATTATCAAAAAATGCTGACAAGAATGCAGAGGTAGGGAACTCCAATATGTTGTTGGTGGGAATGTAAACTAGTAAAACCACTATGGAGAACAGTATAAAGGACTTTCCAAAACATACAAATAGAGCTACCATATGATCCAGCAACCCCATACTCAGAATTTATCTAAAGAAAAGAAATTATTATATTAAAGAGACAACTGCACTCACATGTTTTATTGCAGCACTCTTCACAATATTCAAAATAGGAAATCAACCTAGGTGTCTAACAGCAGACGAATCTATGAAAAATGTGGTATGCATATACAACGGAATACTGTTCAGCCATAAAAAGGACTGAAATTCTGTCATATGCAGCAGCATGGATGGAACTGGAGTACATTATGTTAAGTGAAATAAGCCAGGAACATAAAGTTAAGCACTGCATGTGCTCACTCATATGTGGAATCTAAAATAGTTGATCTCATAGAGGTAAAATGTAGGACAGAGGATACTAAAAGCTAGGAAAAGTAGGGGGTAGGGAGGGATATGAAGAGATTTGTTAAAGGAAATTACTGCTAGATAGGAAGAATAAGTTCTAAACCAGGAGTCCCCAACCCCCAGGCTCAGGACTGGCACCTGTCCATGGTCTCTTGGGAACCAGGCTGCAGAGCAGGGCAAGCGAGCATTACCACCTGAGCTCCACCTCCTGTCAGATCAGCAGTGGCATTAGATCCTTCTATTATTGTGAACCCTATAGTGAACTGCACATGTGAGGGATCTAGGTTGTGCACTCCTTATGAGAATCTAATGCCTAATGATCTGAGATGGAACACTTTCATCCTGAAACCAATGCCCCCATCCATGACAAAATTGCTGTCTATAAAACCAGTCCCTGGTGCCAAAAAGGTTGGGGACCACTGTTGTATACCATTATAGGATGACCATAGTTAACAATGATATGTTAATATTACTAGTTTCATAGAGCTAGAAGGAGGATATTGAATATTCCCAACACAATATTGATAGATGTCTGAGATGATGGATGTTACCTAATTACCCTGATCTGATCCTTAGGTATGTATCAAAACATCACTATGTACACAATGAATATGTAAAATATAATTTATCAATGAAAAAATAAAATTAGACAAAACCAATAAAACAAAAATAAAAATAAAATTTATAAAAATTTCCTAAAAAGAAAAAAGACTTTGACAATCAATGTGCTGAGCCATTTTGTAGTTTTCTGCTTCTAAAATAATTGGATAAGGAATAGAACAACATGCAGTATTTGACATCACCAGTATATTATACATTCCTTGATCTTCACTCTTGTGAACTTACATCAGAAAGTCAAAGACTTCATAATCAAAACAATCAACTAGATGAAAAATAAAGAACTATAACCTCCTTTGAGTTGGAGGGTAGTGTTGAAATTTCACATCCAGTATCAAAATGCAAAAGTTATTTTAAGGTAGTACTCATGAAACAGTATAGCCAAACAATCCACTTAAAAAATGGATCACCTAAAAGAAAAACCTAGAAAAATGTATCAAGTTTTCCTACTGTGAGAGCACTATTCATTCTAACATACACCGTCTTCTGCTTTCTTCAGTTTAAGTTATACATTATTTGGTAATTGTGGCAACACTTTGCTTTCACTATTGCAAGAAGAACTCTTAGTTAAAAGAATGAAGGACTTGACTCTGATTTCTAAAGTCTCCTCCAACTAACCTATATTTTCTCTTATTTTAAATTTAAAAGAAAAATTTCACAGGTGTTGAATCATTTTCTCTGTTCTGAACTAATAATGGTATATCTCAAGAATATAGTTCAACTCACGACACACATATATACAAACACACACAGACATATGTGGAATCACATACAGATCAAGAGATATGTCTAATGTATGCTTACCTGATAACGTGTTGGCTGATTGAGAATGCTGTTAAAACTGTGTGATTCAAAAACTCTTGAGTTAGACTGAGTGAAGAGGTTTAACTAGGAAAAAATACAATTAACCTAGTAAATTAGAATACATTCATTTGGAATAAAAAATATAATCCATTTATTCTCCTTGATAACATTTCTGGAGTCAACATTCCCAAGAAACATTTTGTGGAAGTTGAACTTTATAAGTGATGTAATATAGTCCCAAAGGTTAAAACTGCTGTGAGCAATATGCTCACATTTGTTAAAATGTTGGCAAGATGTACTACTATAATAGAACTATTTAATTGAATATGTATGTTAAACATTGGTTCACAATAAACATAATTTTTCCTGTGGACCTTGTATACTTTATCTAAATGTACTCAGAGCATCTAGAAGGCCAAGTTCCATAGAAGTTCCATCTGCTCCTGAGACTAAGTTCCTCTCCTAGATTTGAATAGACACACATTATAGGTTCAGATGGCACCATTTGGTATTTTGTAGCCCTAAACTATTGGGCAAAATAACCCATCTTCCAAAGCATCTTGGCCTTATACTGAGCCACATTCACCATTTGGGGGAGAACTGGGATGAAGAATTTTGTTTTCCTTTTCTTTTTAAGGTTTAGCTTTTGAGTGCGTAGGAACAGGAAGCAAGAGGAACACACAGGTACTACTGTCTAGTCTTCATTTACATGAGCGAGGCCTGCCTCTTATTTGCAAACAAGCTCTGCCACTGTAAGGTGTGATTCAAAGGCATGGCCTCTATCCAAGGAGATGATTGGCCTCACTACCTACTTCCCACCGTTATAACTCAGGAAGGTGTGGGATGCTAAGGAGGAGTGAAGTGGCACTAATAGGCAAGGACCTTCCTTTGTTTTCTTACAATTGTGCCTCGAGAAAACCTTGGCTAACAAAGTTAATTCTCCAATCGGCCACTGGAGGCCAGTATCTGACTACTGACTGAGGTTAGCTGTCTAGGTTAGTCGGAAAGATTTCTTGAGGCTCCTTCCTCTCTTCCAAAAACAGAAATAGAAAAATATAATTTCTCCAAATATCTGCTACATTCAATATATGAAGAGTATCTATGAATATAAGTAATATTAAAGAGATGTAAATAGCTGTATGTGCAATTTAAAACATAAAATAAAAATTTATTTTTGGCAATTTTTAACCAGATAAGGGAAGAGTGGGAAGTTGAGGAGTAAGCCTCCTGAGAGATCAGTGTCCAACTTTCTATTTCCAGCATCTTCTCTGAGAAAAGCTATTCTTTCCTGTCAATGGTACAATACAGGCAGGAGAGAACAGCCTAAATGCAATGCTTCCTTCCCGTTTCTGTGAACAGGCTGTGTGTTTTTTTGTTTTTGTTTTTTTTTAACAGGGGTCTAGGTAGCCACAAGCCTACTGTGTGTGCTCTTCTAAACCTGACATTTAGTATTACCCTTTTTACATTATGATACTATCAGGAATGAAGTCAGTGAAACCTGTTGCCTACAGAAAGAAAACTCAAGGTGTGTACTCTGCAAGAATTGTGAGGTCCCACACTTGAGAGACTACCTTTTTTGTAATAAAGCGTCAGTTAATAAATCCCAGAAAAACAAAGGTACCTCAAAGCAAAGTCAATTTCAGTAGCAGCAGGAGCTGCTCAGGATGACAACTAGAGCCTGGCTCCTTTAAGAGACCAGCTACCCACAGCTGAAGGTACAGCTTACTGACAGGAAGTGGGCCAGTAACCAAAGATGAACTCAGGTGCTAAGCACGAGGCATCCAGGTGCCACAGAGAGAGCTAGGCATCTGATGCTAAAACACTTGAATTCTGCACCTACCCCACACTGGTCAGTTTATATGACCTTGTATAAGCGAATTATTCTAATAGCTTCAATTGTCTTATCTATAAAATGGGAATAATGATAATACCTACCTCACAGCGTTGCATGAGGTTCAAATGTACAGCAAAGCACTTTGTAAACTGTGAATGAGGAAGGGCACTGATATTTGTTGAGGCTGGAACTTTGTAGATCTCATATAATCCTCACAACAACTCTACAAAGTTAGACAATTGTCTACAATTGGTGAATAATTAAGGCTCAGAGTAGTGAAGTGATTTATCCATGTTCCTTGCTAATAAGCCATAAGTGCCACAATTCAAATCCAGGTCTAATGCCAAAGCTCTCTAGTTTGCATTATACTGCTTCTCACTGCATAAATGTGGTATCATTTTATATCATGGGCTGTCACAACCAGTCGCTGACTTGTAACCTAATAGCCTTAAGAGCCCATAACCAGGTCTAACAAAAGAGGATTTAAAAGGTCACTTTCTTAAAGAATACAGTTCTTGAAAATTCACATCAATTTTAAAAAGCAATAAATTAAATTGCACTAATCTTAACTTTTTCTCCCTGTTTTAACTGAGAAAAAATATCTAATATATCTACCTTTGCTCAGGACGGCCTACACTTTATGGAGATGGGCTTTTAGGAAGTTATAGCCACAGACCATTTTCACAATTTTAGAAAAAGTTATATTTTAAATCTATACATTTGTTCCTATCTGCCTCCCCTGTTATTTAGGTTCACTCACATCCTTCTATCTATACAAATTTTATCTCTGAAAGTTAGTTCATGATAACAAAGTACCATCACAAAAATTATCTTCTTTGTTAAAACTAAACTATGACTCAACTATAAATCAAGGGTTTCTTGCTTATTTATAAAATAAGTTTTTATGGTTATTTGCAGATGCTCTTGGCTGTATCTATTTTGTTGGGAAAGAATGGGAAAAGGATTATTTAGCCCAGTAAAAAGTTTCTACAAAACTTTTGTAGAAAAAGGAGAATATGGTGGTGGTGAAATATACATACACCAAGAGGAAGGCTGGAAGTTTAAGCTATTTAACTTCAGAATAACAGTTGAGAAGCATGGAACACACAAACACAAACTTTTTCTAACAGTAACTTTTCTGGTTACTTTTAACCAGTTAAAGACTTTTTTGTTTGTTTTTAATCTGGTAGTTTATATGATGTTCTGATCAAAAGCAGGGCCTCAACTCAGTGACTTCCTGAAATATCATGAAAATATTTAGTATTAGTCTGTGAAAGACTATGGACTGGACAGTTACTTTTAACATCTTCTAAGTTCACACACAAAAATTATTGAACAAACATCAAAAGACAAGGAAAAGAAAAGACAGAACATTCATTTTAAGGTCTTGATAAGTTTTCGATACCTACCCTGGACTTTGAGTTACCCATTCCCATTTCTATATCCTTCTGAAGCCTTCTCCTTCTGCATTTGGGAAAGTTAACAATTCGCATGATGAAATAAACAAATGATTTTGGACTAGGAACTAGACTGAAGGGTGGAGGTAATGTTTTTCCATCATCAAAATAGGATAACCAAAGTTTTGAACGAGCAAACTTCCATTCTACATCACTGTCATCCTGTGTCACAAAAATAGAAAAAAGATAACTAATTTTAAAAGCTAATTATTCTACTAACTGATGCTAATAGGTTTTTTACAATGAATCTATGTTTTTGAAACAGGTGACTTATACACATTTATCTACATATACTCTATAGACCTACATAATATTCTCATTTTTCAAATAAAATATACTCATTCTCCTTCATATGCCTCTACCTGTACCCATTGAAATTTAACCAGAACTTCCCACCTACTATCTAAAAACAAGGCAAAAAAGACAAGAAAAAGTGAGTGCGAAGGAAGGATAAAAAATTAATTCCTCCCTCTGTCCCCCAACCCAATCAGTTCTGCATGCTCAACAACAGTTGCCTATCTCCCATCCTCCTTCCTCACCTATACCTATCCAAGCCAGGTTGTAGACACAGCATATTATATTTCAAGGGCAAGGGGAAAAAATGGTTCTCAAATGAATTGCTTTTTGGTGTTTCTGCATCTACCATATATCCCCGAATGTCACATAAGTCCCTAAGTAGCCTAGACCTGTCTTACATCTCCCTCCATTCTCTGTGCTGCCCACAGTGATAGGAGAAAGCACCCTAACTGACAGAATAAATGAAGGGAAGTGGGGCCTTACAAGGAGGAAGCTGGCTCTCTCAGTTCACACAGCCTAGAAGGCCATTAGGACCAAAAGTTCTGCTTTGAGAACACTATATTATGAGTTTCTAAAACATACATAGAGATTTAGTGGAGTTAACAAACAGCAAAGCACTAAAGAGATACTGAATACTAAACTGAAGGATGTAAGAAAACATACATACAACAGTGAAGAGAGGTACCAAACCCAGCCAAATCCAAAACTAAGAATCAAGTGATTTCTAGAATACTCAAAATTGTGACTAGATAAAGAACATCATCAGTGTTTGCCAAGCATCTGGTCATTCTACTAGGTAGAATAGTAGGCTGGCTACTGAACAAAGAGTAATTTCCTTAGAGCCAATACTTCTTCTAGCCACTAATTTCAAAACTTTTGAAATAAACTCCAAGAGAAGGCAGAGCAGCAATAAATTCATGGGGACCCCTGCTGTGCACCTAGAAGACACTAGAATGTGTATAGCTACCTATCCAGGTAGAAAACACAGGAAAGAGTCCAAGTTCTGTGTGGATATAAGCCTCTTTCTTATATGAGCTGGAGCTCAGCCATAGGGTACAGAAGCAGATGTATATTATCAGAACAGGATAACAAGGATAAACACTATGGATAGAAAACAGATTTACCTCAATTTCTTGATATGAGCTATTAATCATAGCAATTAGCATGTTGAGTAAAACGACCACCATAGTTACATTGTATATTCCATAAAGAACATATCCAATATTTTCTATGAATTTGTGATCATATTTGAGCACAACGGAAGTCACTTCAGACAACCCAAATATTGACCAAAACAAAGTCTTGAAACTTTCTTCTACACTGTTGAAAAAATAAGGTACAAAGTAAGTAAGTTAAGTTTTTAATATGCAAGAGTGAAAACTAAAAACAAGTTAGGCTCTCTTGTACAGATTAAAACGCCACCATAATACACTCCAAGAGTATAATTACTTTGTTATGACATTTTATAGAAAAATTATACTCTCAGGTTTTCAGGAACTGGTGATTACATAGTGCCAATGCCAAGCTTTTCTGAAGTTATCATTAAGTGAAAATTCTCTGAACTCCACAGGAGAAAGCTGAAGTCAAGTCACAATAACCATTCCTTTCTCCTAAAAAAACGGGAATTTGGTATTTGATTTTGTAGGTGATTTAGAAATTTAAATCAAGTTTTCTGTAGTAGAACAGGGTTGAGATTAAAATTATATACTCAATTTTTTGAAAGTAGGTAAAAACATATTCCTTGCAGCATCATTTGCAGTGGAGAAGAATGAAAGTAATCTAAATATCCATCAGTAGGGGACAGGCCAAATAATACTGGTATATCCATACAAGGGAATGCTATGCAGCCACTGTCGGAAAAATGAGACAGACTGAGCTTCATGTGTTTATATAAAATTATATTGAAGATATAGTAAAGGAAAAAAGTGAGCTATAGCAAGTGTGAAATATTCTATCACTTAAATAAAAAAGAGGGACATACAAATACTTATATTCTTTTTTATATAAAAAATGCCTCTGAAAATATTGAAAAGAAACCATTGTCTCTGGGAACTAAGGAGAAGTAAGAGACTAGGCCAAGGTTAGGGAGAAGGACAGGCATTTCCTTGTAGATGCCTCTCTATTTAAATTTTTTATCACAAGAATGTATCACCTACCTAGAAATATTTAACTGAAAATGAAGAGAAGGCAGCAGAATGAAAGGTTTCTGTTCTTTTCCCTAAATTTATAGAATCTACTTCCTGATTCTTCCATCACAACAATTAGCACTTAGGCCCTCACCAGACTAATTACCTACTTTTGTCCCTTAAATGACCTTTGGCAACACATATTTGGGTGGGTTTGTCATAAAACCAAATTGTAATCGCTGGTGAACTAAATTAACAATCCTTAAATTAAAGATTTACACACATAGAATTCCATTACACCTTCTAAAGTAAGTTTTTTTCCAGAAAAAGATTCTTAAAAATAGTACTTTTTAAATGTGTTATAACAGATCCTAAATAACAATAAATTTTATAGATTTGTAGGCTTCAGTACTAGTTTATTCATTCATTCATACAACAAGTATTGACGGAGCACCTATTATGTTCTAGAAATTTTGCTACACCCTGAGGATGGACCGTTGACTAGAACTCTGTTTCTATAGAGTTACTCTCAATTATGAAACATTTAGCAGTGTGATGTTATGGCATAGATGCTGACAGGAGATTAAGAAAAACTATAACCTCTTTATTCCTGCCATTTATTTAACTGCATCACAAAAAATCTCCTGCTCCTTTGCAAACCTTGCTGCCCCTACCTTCTCTTGGAATCTATATGGAGTGCCTGTGTGGGAAGAAGGGGATAGTAAAAAAGGAAAGGACACTGGCAGTTCTGAGCTCCTACTGTGGGCAAGAGGCTTTATATAACTCACCTTACATAATCATCACAACGACCTTACTTAAACTTTATTGTGCTTATTTTAAATATAAGGAAACTAACACTGAGAAATGTTCAGGAACTTAACGAAAAGCCACAGCTAGAAAACAGCAGAGATTGCATTCAAATCCAGGTCTGCATGACTTTCAGCCTATGTCCTTTCTACTACATTGTAGGACCACATCCCTAGACAAAACAGTGAAGAAAATAGAATGTATAAAATGAGTTACCATAGAGTTAAAAGGAAAAAGGGGGCAGGAGTTACAATATGTGCAGGATCTCTTTGTCATTTCCCAGCTGAGTTAAAAAAGATTTTTTTTCTTCTTCATTATGATACAGTGAATTTCAAGTGTCACCTCTAAGACCTGTTCTATAGTAACTATTAAAAAAATTCATTTTAGAACAATTGAGATATCTACAAAGACTTGATATTCTACTTCAGTCTATAGAGTAGTTATTGAGTGTGTAGTTTGTTTCCAGCTGTGGCGTTATTGGGAACAAAGGGAAAGTAGGGAGGGTTTATAACCTCCCCATCTGGAAGAACTGCAGTACAGAGTGGGGGGCCTTACCTCCATGATATTCAAACACCATTGGGTGCGAAAATATCTCACAATCTGAGTGTCTCCATGCTGAAGGAACTTAAAGGGAAAATGACTAAGGAAGCTTGATCAAGGAAGACTTCATGGAAGAGGTGAGTCTCCAGTGCAGAAACCAATATGGCCAAAGGAAGAAACTGGTATTACCATGATAGTGGGCCATAAAACGTTTAGCTATAATTTCCTCTTACCCGACTCCCTGTACTGATTAATGAATACATTACAATAAAAGCTGATGCTTCCTTTTTGAAAGAAGGGTACTGGCTACAAAATGCTGAAACTAATTTTAATGTTATATGAAATATAAGAGACATGCAGTATTAGAAATGTGTTATCCTGTTTTCTTCAAATAGTCAGTTTTGTCTAAGGTTTTTCCAAATTCTGATCCATTATATGGTCAAATGCTCACTAAGCTCAGAGCAATGTAATCACACATAAGCACTATTTTTAATGAATTCTTTTCTGCACTTAAAAACATCTTTATTACAATCAGAGAAGTTTTTCCTATGCTTCCTCTAGATTTGTTAAAATTTCTCCTTATTGTACCTTATAATAAGATATTTTACTTACGTGGTAAAAGCAGCATTTACTTTAGCCCCAAGGTAGTAAGAATAAAGTATGAACATGCCAATCATAAAGGCAAAAAACACCATGATAAAAAGGACCATGAACTTGAAGATGTCCTTTACAGTCCTTCCAAGAGATATCTGCAGAGGGCCAAAGCTCTCATTTGCAGGGAGGATGTACGCAATCCGAGAGAAGCTGAGCACAACAGCTATGGCATAAAGGCCTTCAGATATAATCTGAGGGTCAGAAGGGAGCCATTTATCTCTAGCTAAAAAAAAAGAGAGAAAGAGATTAAAAATGGAGTTTTCTAGTCATTTCCAACTACACAAAGCAAATACCTTAAATAGGTTCTATCTTGTAGGTAGGTGGTTACCATCTCAGTTGAAGCTACTCTAGATTTAATTAACTGTCCAGGTACTATTTTCATCTTAAACCAGAAACATAAATTCTACATTACTTTCGATGGATTACTTACTATTATAAAGATGCTAAGCTGACTTCACATTGAGCAGAAACGGAATAAAATACAAAACATGAAGTGGTTAAAACACTTCGTTATATATAGACTGTATCCAGGATGACAAAAACCTGACTTGACTGATTTGTCCCTTCAGTTATTAGATTTACTGACTAGTGATTTTATCATCCTGTAGGCACAGTTGGAGTGTAACTTCTTTTCCATATTTTGTGGAAAAATTAGTTCAACCAACAGTTTATGCAAATAAAATATGTCAAGGAGTGAAAATGTCACTGAATCACAATGATACTGATGATGTGATATCTAAGCAATATAACTTGTTCCTAAAAAATGTAAAATGCCACTGAAGTAAAAAAATTTTGGATATAGATTCAGAATGAGGACCCCTAACAACCCTTTCGAGGTCACTTATTAAGTCTGCAGCAGACCTGGCAGGTCAGTGAAATATTATGTGGTTAATTTTGTGTAAACTGAGTCACTCCCAAAGAATGGATATATTGTAGACATCTGCAATAACAACAAAAATTAACATTTATTGATCAGCTCAGCCATTGTGGAAAGCACTTTGGAGATTTCTCAAAGAACTTAAAACAGAACTACCATTCAATTCAGCAACTCCATTCGTGGGAATATATCCAAAATAAAACATTGTTTTACCAAAACACAAATGCACTTGCATCTTCATTGCAGCACTATTCACAATAGCTAAGATATGGAATCAACCTAAGTACTCATCAACAGTGGATTGGATACAGAAAATGTGGTATATCTATACCATGGAATACTATACAGCCACAAAAAGAACAACAATCATGGATGCAGCTGGAGGCCATTATCTTAAGTGAATTAATGCAGGACTAGAAAACCAAATATGGCAGGCTCTCACTTATAAGTGGAAGCTAAATATTGGGTACTCATGGACATACACATAGCAACAATGAAAGTGGAAACTACTAGAGGGAAGGGGAAAGGGGTGAAAAACTATCTATTGTGTATATACTCAGTAACCGGGTTATGGGGTCATTCTTAGTTCTAAACCTCAGAATCATGCAATATACTAAGGTAACAAATCTGCACATGTACCCTCTGAATCCAAAATTAAAGTTTAAGAAATTAACATTTATTGAATGTTTAATATGTGTCAGACACTGCCTTCAATGACCCTATGGATGTGATACTATTATCCTCTTTTTAGAGAGGCAGAAACCAGACTTAGAAAGGTTAAAAACTTGATCAAAACAATACATACAGGAGATAGGGAAGCCTGAATCCACAAATTCCCTTCCAGACAACAGTCACTAAATATATGTGAATAAATTTAAATAAATAGGTTATGAAATAGTCAAGATATATTACATAAAATAAAATCTGAAATTAATTAATTTCAAATGGTGCTCGTTTGAACAAGTCTCCTTGATATATAAACATCTTGCTGACAATAACAGAGGTGCTTAATTACATCATATATTTTGTAGCTGAAGCCCAGCCTTCCATAACGTTAACATGATGCTTGTACTTATCAGAGTGTGCCCTAATTACACCCATAAAAAATAATTCTTCACAACCAGAACACATTTAAACTCTGTGCCTGAGTTCCCTTACTTGTAAGATGAAAATTATACAATAGTTTCATGAAATCTGAACTCTTTTCCAGATTTCAGATTTTACAACTATATACAAATTTGCTAACTATGTCTCCTCAATTTGGCCTCAAGGGAAAGGAGGCTAACATTACTTACTATTGGTTTGTATGGGGCAAGGAAGGCATCAAGTCCTTTCACATCGGATGTCAGCTGAGGTCTCACTGACATAATACAGAGAAGTTTGGCATGAACTCCATTCCATGCCATGTGAACAGGACAATATCCTCCCCCCATATTTCTGCTGTTTCTCCAGGGCTTACATTCTCACGGTCACTTTAGAACCTACTTCCTGCCTCTGTTGAATTACTGTTCACTTTGCCTGCAGAGCAGTCTAACACCTTTTATTATCTTCTCTCCTTGAATCCATGCTCTCAGAGACTTATCTTCCACATTCAAGCAGTTTATCAAACTATTTTTTCCCTAATTACGACAGTCCCAATAGTAATTATCTTATAGGGTTAAAGATAATTTCCCTCCATCTTGCAACACTTTTTATAGCTATGGAAACTGATGCACAGAGAAGCAAATTGACCTGAACTAGGTTACACAACAAGCGGGAGTCATAGCCTTGAAATGAATCCGGTTGTGTAGAGTTCCAAAGTTCATGCTATTTCCATAGTAAATATTCAATACACCTCTCATTGGCATTTCCTTCCAAAATGTGGTTCTGATAGCTTTCCCAAAACATAAGGGTATCCTGAAGCTAACAACTTACCATAAGTGAAATACTGTATCTCTGGTGGGAGTGTCACTTCGCTGAGGTCACTCTCTTGGACATAACTGTCCACATACTGTTGTGCCTTTGTTGCCTGAAGGAAAGCTAGGAATCTGGCTGTGAAAGCAGCAATGAAGATGGAGAGCATCCCAAAGTCGAGCACATTCCACAACTGCAAAATGTATTCCCTAGGTCCTTCCAGCCAGAGCTCCTTACACTCAGACCACATCATTCCTGTCACAACAAATACAGAAGGTGCAGGTCAGATTTTACAGACTACCCCGAGAAGCTGTTATTCTGCCCATCATCAGCCACTTCTCTGAAATACCCTACACATCAAGCACTGTACTAGGCATAACAAAGCATTGACTGTATGGTCACTGAGGCCCTGGGCAGAGTTAAACGGAAGAAGCTCCCGCTAAGAAAATAATTCACTCCACCACATTAGAATTTGGAGTACAGTCTACATGTGGCACTAGAAATGTCTCTATTCATGTAGAGGAGGTGGTGGAGGGGGGTGGGGAGAAGGAAGAAGGAAAGGAAATAAGCAAGGAAGGCTCTTCAAGTTATCCCATAAGACTTTTGGAGAAGAAAATATGTTCTTATAAAATCACAATGGTTAGTTATCAAACCATAATGATTAGTGGAGAAATAAGTCCCCAAGATTTTTAACAAGAACAGTTTCCCAATAATCCTCTTATCCTCTCTCCTCATTTCCATGTCATGCTGGGAAGTAAGCAACATCATCTGAAAAAGATGAAACCCATAAGTGGGAGGCCCTAGGACATTCTGAAGGAACTGAAAGCAGAAAATAACATTCTGGGAAAAGAGGACAAAATAGTCCAACGTAACAAATTGTCCTGACTACAAAAAGGGAAAATATTGTGGAACTTAAAAAATATATAATGGCTTAAAGAAAAATTTATAAAATAATTATATGACCTAGGCTGAGGCCACAGGAGTGAATGAGGGGAAGAAAGGACCTACTAACTCAGAAAATGAGAAGATACTAAGAATTACACTGGATAAAAGAGAATGTGCAAAAATGACTTCAGATTAATCAGCAATAAACAACCTTGTTCCAGTTTCCATTTCTTAGCATGGAGCACAACAAATTATTTTCCTCACATTACGTCAAATTCTTATTTTAACCTAGCTATTCAAAATGGGTTATTGTAAGGTGAAATAGGTTGGTGCAAAAGTAATCGCAGTTTTTGCCATTTTAAAAATAGTAAAAACCACAATTACTTTAGTACCCAACCTAATAACAAATATTCTGAAAGTGAAAAGTCTCTTAAAATCTCTGGAACTAAAGCAACAGAGAAATTCTCTGTCATCAATTGATAACCACTGGGTTATTTCATAAGTATTTCAATTAAATAATTGATCACAATGAGTCACATTTTAAAACTTACATCGTGTTCAATAATTGAAGTTAGATTTCTGAAACATATATTTGTAATTAGGCTCATGTTACCCATGAAAAAATTTATTTAGTATTAAGGGATACCTTTTAGTATTATCTAGCTGGAAAATTATTTAATTATTTTGCTATTTAGCTTATCTTACAACAGTGATGTCACTATATAAGATAGAATAACATTTTTTTCAATCGAAAACAACAATTATTTATGTAATTACTTTTGGTAGAAATTAGGGTACTTAAAATAAAAGGCTTACCAAGAACCCAGACCATAATTAGCATTTCAGTCCATGTAAACTGGGTGGTTTTCACCCTGAAGATCTGTTTGGGATAGTCAATAACCGTGATATTGGGCAGTGTGGTGATGCCCTCGAATCTGTCTGAGGCGTTGAACACAAGCAGGCCCAGGAAGATAATGAAAGAAGCTGCGTGTGCTACAAACTTCATAAAAGGGCTTCGCAGAATTTTCCCCAGCTGTAACAAAACATAGAGGAAAAGTTTGCTTCAGAAAATCTGGCTTTCACTTGTGGCAATTACAATACAGGATTAAAAAAAATAGACGAAAGGAGAACACTCAAAATTCTGCTTCTGTTTCCAAAAAGCTCTACATTGCAAAAAATATTCTTTTTTTAGGGGGATGCTTCCTCCAAAAATAATTTAATAAGTCTTCAAAATTCATGGTTTCTAAACGTTCAATTTGTCTTAGGGTAGACTACATTCACAGATGCACTTCTGGAAATCACAGAGCCCATACTGGTACTTGCTCTTATTTTTACAGAAAATAATATGCAAAGTCCAGATTTTTAGGGTCTAGGAAAAGAAACTTCAACTCTGTATTGTATGATTCTTTATTGCTTTGCAATTGAGATGTTATGATGAGCTTATAGACTCATAAAAGACATAAAAACCCTTTGAAGATTAAAAATATTACTACTACAGAAGTAAATGTTAGTTCTCATTTCTAAATATTCCAAAATCAAGTTATACCTGGTACACTATAAAAAAGGCAGAAAATATTAGACCAAGATCAATATTGTATCTGTTACTACTCCTAATAAGAAGAGGGAGATACACAATAATTAAAACCTCTAAGTAGGTTAACTTAATTGAAAGTGATCTCTGAGTTGGATAATCATGTAAATGGAACAAAAGGATTTCTAAAGTTCAGTTTATAATTATTTTAAGGTGACTCCTTTAAAATCCCCTATGATATAATGTCCTTAAAAGTCCCACGTTCTTGTGAAAATGAAAAACAATTCCTCCTGTCCCAAGGGCTTCCACAGTCCAAGAATTAGGTACATTTGGTAGATTTATCAAGTATGTTCTCTATTTTACACTCGCAGACCCTGCTTTTTAACTCAGTATATGACCTTATAAAGGACTGAAGTTCACATTTAAAGGACTGTGACTCCAAACAAAAGTTTTTGCAGGTCTAGAACCTTAATGTTGTATCAATAAATGATGAAAGATATGTCTCATATTTTCAGGATTCAGTATGAATGCACACAGACACATGTCACATTTTCTATGTGAGACACAGAAAAATAACACATTTACACATCACCTTGCTATTATACAGCTGCAAAAAGGGCACGTTTGGGGTAGCTTATCCCTAGCACATAGAAATTTCTTTGGAATTGCCAAGTCTGTTTCTCCTAAAGGTCAATCTTTTAAAACTTTAAATAACATGAAAAGAAAGCAGAATGCCAATCTCAAAAATGAGATCTACATGGAAAATTCTTGCTTTGTTGCCATTTTGCTGTAAGACAGGTGGTATATGGCAGCTATAAACATGAGCTCCGGGAATGGCTCAACCTCCATGTTTCCCTTCTCTGCAGAGCATGCCACACTTAGTTGTACTTGTAAAAGTGTAGGAAAAAAAGAAGTGAACCCCAAGATGGTAACTTCAAACCTGATGGAATGTTTTAACTAATTAAGCTCCCCTAAGAGACTTCTAAACCTGAACTTTGCAACTCATTTCCTTCAGAAAGGAAAATTATTTGGGTAGGATGTGGTTTTTGTTTTATTGCATGCCCTCTCATATTATTTATAGTTTTTCATCTTTAGTGTTTATGTATTTAAATAATCTTAAAGTAATTTTCCATGATACATAACAAAAGAACTTAGTTGAGTTATGAAACATGATCAAAATGACAAATTTTCTGCCTTAGATTGCATAGGCAACTCAATGATGAAGTGAGATGGATGAATGTTCTCACACATATATGGTGTTTGCAGAGCAAAATTCTGCTGGGGGAGACTGCTGAGCCAGAGAGATGGCAGATTTCCAGGATCATTTGTAAGTGCCCTTTACTCATTTTGCCTTGAAACTACCTCTGATTTAAACAAAACCAAATTTCAGAATATAAAAACAGGATTAAAGGATCTCAGCACAGCTCCTTCTCTGTGGCAGTGCCCTTAATAACTGGTATGACTAGTATTCCTTCCACATCTTGCTAGGGGATCTCTTGGGCACAACTAAACTGATTCTACATTGGCAAGTTGAGAGGAGAATGAAGGTACTGACCGAAATGATCCAAGCAAAACCAAATAAACAATCTAAAAAAAAATCTAAAACCCCAGAAACTAAATTCTACATTTTTTTAAAGCAGAGTCTTGCTCTGTTGCCCAGGCTGGAGTGCAGTGGCACGATCTCGGCTCACTGCAACCTCTGTCTCCCAGGTTCAAGTGATTCTCCTGCCTCAGCCTCCCAAGTAGACAGGACTATAGGCACGTGCCACCACAGCTGGCTAATTTTTGCATTTTTAGTAGAGACGGGGTTTCACTGTGTTAGCCAGAATGGTCTTGATCTCCTGACCTCGTGATCTACCAGCCTTGGCCTCACAAAGTGCTGGGATTACAGGTATGAGCCACCATGCCCAGCCTAAATTCTACATTTTTAAGAACTTGCCTGAATGAACGAAGGGTTAGGGGAACCTGACATGCAGTTTCTTGAAGACTTTGAATACCACTACTGTTCTCAATTGTGCTTCACACAATCAACCTTAGATTTCTTCTGACAGGTCCAAATGGGTTGCCCTTCTAGTTCCCAGCGTAACTGCTGGTACTACTGCAATAGTGCTCTCCATTCCCAGGTCTGTCCAGAGGCCAGCACAGCTGACACCATTAATAAGCTGTCAATAAAATCAGTACAAGTGCTACTTTGCTCAAGCAGCTTTTCCTTCTCTGTCTACCATGAGGATTTTTATCTTAAGAGCCTAAGTATTTTATGCCTGTAAATGTGATCTATCCCACTAGTACCAAATCCTTTTTCATCCTTTATTTGAATTGATCCAGTAATTAAAATGCAGAATATGTGTTCTTGAGTCAATTAACATTTAGTGTAAAACTGATAAGAGCCTTAAGCATGAAGCTTTTACTTTTTTTTTTAATCCCAAAGAGACATGGTACACCAAGCATAGAGGAAAGAGATGTAGAAAGCCAGTACCCTGCTACAAGGTGCGATCCAATAGCCGATGGCCAGGAATGGAAGGCCCAGGGCCACAACCAGCACAACGAGACACTTGATTGCTATCGTCTGCTCCCTTAGGCCTGAGAGGTTTTCATACCAGATCGTCAAGAGCTGCTGCTGGCAGTTAGGATGAGCCACAAACTGTTGGGAGAGAGAGAGTTTGAGAAGGGGAGAGAAAGGTAAGTTTCCATACCATTGTCAATAGTTCAACTATTAAATGCACGTGCATTCTAAAGATATTAAAGCATAGGTACAGGAAGGTTCTGGTAATATTCTTTGCCTTCCCTCCGTTTTTCAAAATTGTCTCAGAACTAATAGAAGAACTAGAATAGAAACGAGAAGGTAAAATTGGTGTTGCGCTTATCATAGTTCTTTTTGATAGAAACCCTCCATGATTCACAGATTTCTCTGTGGAAACTGGGTGACATCTGGCTTCTTTTGTAAAAATGTGTCCCATCTTGCTGTTGGCCAGCTTACTTGCATTTCTTTTCAAAATGGAAAAGAAAAAAATGTTACTTGGTTTATTGCAGACTAAAGCTAAAAGAAAAATGTGTGAAGTTTTGTGAGCAACCCCCAAAATGCTGCATGTATAAAAAATATGTGCATGATGCACCCTTTTGTAATTATGTACTATTACTGCAAATCTGTAAAAGGTCTGAAAAATAATCAATGGACTTGCAAGTAGTATGCTGGGTCCACACATGCACTGCTTCTAGGAACTGGCATCAAATGCCACTTCCCTCTTGTCCTCTTTTTGATTGCTTCCTTTATCAAAAGGTCAAAAGAACAGGACTATTTATCTTCAGCCGTTCTTAAATAACTACAATTCTAATCAGGAAAAATGAGCAAATTATACTTATTTCAGCCCAGCCATTTGATTTTGTTAAGTTATCTGCCTGCATCATTTAGAAGGACTGGGATTTCTTTAAAACCCTGTCCTTATTCAAGAAGCAGAATGTTATTTGTAGTCAGGCCCATGTAAAGGTCTCCATGCCAAAAGCTGCTTATTTGTAGCTAGATATGCCTTTTTTTGAATGGCCATATGCACTTTGTCCAAGCTCAGGAATTCAGACATCAACTATGAGTGACAACAAATTTTTTAAAGACGTTTTTAACAACACAAAAATCAAGGTGTCACTGTCTTCTAAAAAACAGAATAAACAACAACGAGCCTGTTAAGAAATACCCATGAAATGTTTTGGGGATCTCTAAGAAACACAGTAGCTGCAGTTCCTACTAGTCAGAGGTTCCTCTTTAATCAAGTTCTAGTTAATGATCCTGATGATTCTTAGTAACTCCAGGCAATTCCTAGAGTTACTAATATTTGGCAATTTATCAAAGCCCACTTACGAGGAAATGCACAGGGTTCCACTGACTGGTGCACAGTTTCCTATCAACAATTTTAATTAAAAAAGAAAGTCTCATCTCCCAGGACAGGCAATGGAGGTGCAATTTCCTCAAATCCCTGCTTTTGCCCCCGGAGTGTACCCAGTGGAGAAGTCCACTGATGACTGCACTGGCGGCTGCCTCTGCCCCATCATACATGGGAACTCAACTACCCACGGACAGAGGTGGTGAGACAAAATTGACAAATATGAGATTTGAAATAATTAACTGAGTTCTTTCCCATAGTACTAATTAGTAGTGTTTTGGGGATCTAAAGTACTACAAAGAAGATGCTACTTTTTCTTTTTTGATGATTCAATGTGAAAAACATATTACTATGGGCAAAATGTCTGTGTCCCCCAAAATTCATATGTTGAAATTCTAAGCCTCCCCCAAAATTTATATGTTGAAATTCTAAACCTCAATGTGATGAGTATCAGAAAGCCAGGCTGTGGGGAGGTAATTATATGATGAGGGAGTAGCCTTCATGAATGGGATTTGTGCCCTGATAGGAAGAGGCCAGAGAGCTCACTCTCTTTCTGCCATGTGAGGATACAATGAGAAGTCAGCAGTCTGCAACCCCAAGAAGAGCCCTCACCAGATCTTCACCATGCTGATTTTGGATTTCCAGCCTCCAAAACTGTGAGAAATAAATTTCTGTTGTTTATAAACTACCCAGCCTATGATACTTAGTTACAGCAGCCTGAACTAAGAAGCATATTTTATCATGCGAGTTCTTTTCCATTCAGTTTTCACAATCCCAGGTCCTGATTTTTAGTAGCTGCTAGTTGCTAAGGATATATTAGATCTTCTCTCCAAACGCAAGATTTTGTCATTTTTCTAAGGTCCTAATTTTTGAAAACAGCATTTCACAGACCAATGCTGTCATTATTTGAACTCATGAATATAATCAAGGTTGAAGGCTTCCTGGGTATATGTAACAACTTCCTAGGATTCTTGTTGAGAACTTCTCCAAAATTCCACTTCTGCCCCTGTACTATATTTAGATCATTTCCTTCCTGCTTCACCTCTCCCTCTATGGTCCCTAAATGTCCTTTATTCATTCATTCATTTATTCACTCATCAAAATGCCTTAAGCCCCTTCTTTGATCTTGGAAGTACATTGGGCAAGTATATTGGTACAAGAAGATGAAAATGGAAATATCAGAGTTGAATTAATTAATAAGTAGTCATTGTTCTAGGGTACACAGTAAGCTTTCAATAGATACAAAATAAGGTATTATAACTGAGACTTCAACTCATATGCTTGTCAAGACACCTAGTCAGAATTTAAAATAGTCTTAATTTGAATGTTGGTACAAGCATCTTGATATTTGGAGGATCTGCATTTGTGGGAAGTTAGACGGATATAAATAAAAGGTATCCCTGGTGACCGCAGCCAGGCTAAGCTTAAGACAGGTAATGGTGCATTCAGGGTAAACTACAGGTGGAGCATATAATGTCACCAAATCAGATTACCACTTAGGAAATCAACAATGCAGTTTTTAGACCAAGGGTTTCTGTAGGAAACAAAATCCCCATGAAGTTAAGAGACAGGTGGGCATGTGTCTATATAGAATTGATGGACAAATTTCCCTTTTGTGAGTGTTTGGTAGCTATCGTTTGAATGTGTCTCCTCCAAAAATCAGATACTGTCAATGTGGCAGAGTTAACAGGTGGGGCCTTCAAGAGGTGATTAAGCCATGAGGGCTGCTCCCTTGTTAATGGTATTAAGACCCTTATAAAAGAGGCTTCATGCAGCATCCAGCTATCTTGCTCTTCTACTCTGCCATGTGAGGACACAGTGTTTCTCCCCTCTGGAGGATGTAACCTTCACTAAACTATCAAACTTGTCAGTGCCTTGATCTTGGACTTCCCAGACTCCAGAACTATGAAGAATAGTTTGTTCTTATAAATTTCTCCACCTCAGGCATTCTGTTACAACAACGCAAATAGACTGAGGCACTGGTCGTTCTTAGGTTTTAAACTCTTGAGGACAGAAATACTAATGTTATAGTATATCTCCCTTTCCTACTCCTCCTCCTCCTCGGACTAATCTTTAAATTTGAAGATGTGCTTTATGGCTTTAATTACATATTTATTAAGATTGCATAACTTCAAAGACTTGATGGAATCCTTTCCATAAGGCATATATATGATCATCAATCTTTGACTTGATGTAACTTGTACAACAGTGCAAACACTGACAGTACATTAAGTAGTGACCAAAATTGTGGTGTTTGCATTTTGCCTGTTACACTTTAAAATTCAGCTTACCAGGTCTATTTCCTGTATGTCTAATTATACTCTTTTTTTTTTTTTTTAGATAATTATACACCAGCTCATGGACTCGTTGATTCTGTTTCATCCACACAAACAATTTTCCTCCAATGAGTTAAAATCCTAATCCAAGTTCACAAGGAGCATTTCAAAAAAGAAAGTGAAGCCAGTACAGTAATAGTAAGTGAAGGCAAAAAAGCTAATCCCTTTAGGAGATAAGTTTCGCTCTTTTCAATGCCTTCAAAATAAGGCAATGACCTTCATACCTTAAAACTGTTTTACCTCCTGAAAAATCTCTTTATGTTACTACACCAGTTATGCCGAGCTGGATAAAATTTGTATGCTGTTTCCTAACTTCAGTGCACCAACAAATTGAAGTCATCACAAAACTAATACCCTTATTTGGAGTTTTCTGATTTAAAAAGAGAATGTTTGACACAGAAAATCTTAATCTTTCAATTGAGCAAAAAGCATGTAGAACAAATCCTTTTTCTTGGCAAATGACTAATTATAAACTGAACCACTGATCAGGACAGATTAGGGAAAACAATACACCATTTTTCATCAAATCAGCCTTCACAAGAACTGTTTTCATGGGAATATGGTATGTGTAAAAACATGGTAGGAACTCTGGTAGGAACTCCGAATTTGTTTGAAATGACACTATGAGAGCCATAATTCATACAATTTAAAGGAAAATATTCTTGTAAATAAAAACTAGGCAATTCGACTTCTTTTTAAAACTCACTGAATTGTGGGCCAGGCGCGGTGGCTCAAGCCTGTAATCCCAGCACTTTGGGAGGCAGAGGCGGGTGGATCACGAGGTCAAGAGATCGAGACCATCCTGGTCAACATGGTGAAACCCTGTCTCTACTAAAAATACAAAAAATTAGCTGGGCATGGTGGCGCGTGCCTGTAATCCCAGCTACTCAGGAGGCTGAGGCAGGAGAATTGCCTGAACCCAGAAGGCAGAGGTTGCAGTGAGCCAAGGTCACGCCATTGCACTCCAGCCTGGGTAACAAGAGCAAAACTCCGTCTCAAAAAAAACAAAAACAAAAAAAAGCTCACTGAATTGTGAAATATAAACCCAAAACTTATAATGCACAGATTTTCTGGATTTTCAAACTTGCTGAGTACAAAATGCTCTGTTATCTCTTGGTTCCTGGGGACAGAGCAGGACAAGAGGCCACACAGTGCAGGACCCAGGACTGTGCCGGCCTGCACACCACCCCAAAGTCTCAGTGGTATATTTACCAAGCTCTCATTACCTTTTTTAAATTCTGGGCTTTCCCTGTGAACTTTTTGCACAGAAAGTAGATACACAATGGATAATTTTATCCTGTTTATACTGCTGTATGTTTCTTTTTAGAATGCCTTTTCTATATTTAAATCTAATCCTACTATGGAGGAACTATTAATAGGAGAGCAGAAAGGAAGAACTCAGGAAATGTTCTCCTTCTCTTTCTGAGAGCCCAGTTTTCCAGATTCAATGGTCTACCAAGCTCTAGTACCTTTTGTCAAAAACTTTCTCACAATAGACATAACTCATGGTGAAGTAAGTAGAATTTTGGTTATTTCTAGGGTGGGGAGTAGCTTAATGTTCAGCTGCACATCTATTGGGGATTCTATGAGCTTCCCCAGTATCACTTACTAAATTCCTTCCTGCTTAAATGGCTATGGTCTCTTATTAAGGACTTGATCCAGTACAAGAGGCATGAAATCAGTCTTTGATGACTGAGGACTAACTTGCTTCTGAGTCATCACTCTGGGTAAGAATTTTCATAATGTAGAAATGGCATTATTAGTAGCTAATACTTATTGAGCAATCACCATGTCCTACTCTGTGCTAATTACTCCTACCTCACAGAGCAGGATAGAGGTAGAGTCAGAAATAGAACTCAAGACTTTTTTTGGGGGGGGGCAAATAGTCCATTATTCTAAGTAAACAAAACTTGTGTTTTTGCTTAAAAATTAATTTTCTTGTACCCATTTTCAGAAAACCAAATTTCATCTTCCAATCTATTCCATTCTCTTTCCAAAGAATAATATAGGTATTTCTGTAAATAGTGTTTACTATCCTTCCAGTTTTATAATTTACCTTAGAGACCCCTTAAAAATGATTTTAGGCTGGGCCCAGTGGCTCACACCTGTAATCCCAGTACTCTGAGAGGCCAAGGCAGACAGATCACTTGAGGTCAGGAGTTTGAGAGCAGCCTGGCCAACATGGTAAAACACCATCTCTACTAAAAATACAAAATTTAGCCAGGTGTGGTGATGGGTGCCTGTAATCCCAGCTACTCAGGAGGCTGAGGCAGGAGAATTGCTTGAACCCAGTAGGCAGAGGTTGCAGTGAGCCGAGATCTTGCCACTGCATTCCAGCCTGGGCAACAGAATAAGACTTCATCTCAAAAAAAGAAAAAAAAGATTTTAGGATGAATAATCTTCAAAATCTATTCCATGTTAGTAAAGATGCAGGCATATGGTTGCTGTTTTACCATAATAATTGAGCACTGTAAATTTTTTTTTATTGCATTTTAGGTTTTGGGGTACATGTGCAGAACATGCAAGACATTTGCATAGGTACACACAAGGCAGTGTGTTTTGCTGCCTTCCTCCCCTTCACCCACATTTGGCATTTCTCCCCAGGCTATCCCTCCCCAGCTCCCCCCACCACTGTCCCTCCCCTCTTCTCCCCAATAGACCGTAGTGTTTAGTACTCCCTTCCCTGTGTCCATGTGTTCTCATTTTTCATCACCCACCTCTGAGTGAGAATATAGGGTATTTCATTTTCTGTTCTTGTGTCAGTTTGCTGAGAATGATGTTCTCAAGGTTCATCCATGTCCCTTCAAATGACACGAACTCATCATTTTGGATTGCTGCATATTATTCCGTGGTGTATATGTGCCACATTTTCCCAATCCAGTCTATCATCGATGGGCATTTGGGTTGGTTCCAGGTCTTTGCTATTGTAAACAGTGCTGCAATGAACATTCCTGTGCATGTGTCCTTATAGTAGAACCATTTATAGTCCTTTGGATATATACCCAATAATGGGATTGCTGGATCAAATGGAATTTCTATTTCTAAGGCCTTGAGGAATCGCCACACTGTCTTCCACAATGGTTGAACTAATTTACACTCCCACCAACAATGTAAAAGTGTTCCTATTTCTCCACATCCTCTCCAGCATCTGTTGTCTCCAGATTTTTTAATGATCGCCATTCTAACTGGCGTGAGATGGTATCTCAATGTGGTTTTGATTTGCATCTCTCTAATGACCAATGATGATGAGCATTTTTTCATATGTTTGTTGGCCTCATGTATGTCTTCTTTTGTAAAGTGTCTGTTCATATCCTTTGCCCATTTTTGAATGGTCTTGTTTGTTTTTTTCCTGTAAATCTGTTTGAGTTCTTTGTAAATTCTGGTTATCAGCCCTTTGTCAGATGGGTAAACTGCAAAAATTTTTTCCCATTCTGTTGGCTGCCGATTCACTCTAGTGACTGTTTCTTTTGCCGTGCAGAAGCTGTGGAGTTTCATTATGTTCCATTTGTCTATTTTGGCTTTTGTTGCCAATGCTTTTTGTGTTTTGGTCATGAAGTCCTTGCCTACTCCTATGTCCTGAATGGTTTTGCCTAGATTTTCTTCTAGGGTTTTTATGGTGCCAGGTCTTATGTTTAAGTCTTTAATCCATCTGGAGTGTAAGGTGTCAGGAAGGGTTCCAGTTTCTGCTTTCTGCACATGACTAGCTAGTTTTCCCAACACTATTTATTAAACAAGGAATTATTTCCCCATGGCTTGTTTTTGTCAGGTTTATCAAAGATTGTATGGTTGTAGATATGTTGTGTTGCCTCCGATGCCTCTGTTTTGTTCCATTGGTCTATATCTTTGTTTTGGTACCAGTACCATGCTGTTTTGGTTACTGTAGCCTTGTAGTATAGTTTGAAATCCGGTAGTGTGATGCCCCCCGCTGTGTTCTTTTTACTTAGAATTGACGTGGCTATGCGGGCTCTCTTTTGGTTCCATATGAAGTTCATGGTGATTTTTTCCAGTTCTGTGAAGAAAGTCAATGGTAGCTTGATGGGGATAGCATTGATTCTGTAAATTACTTTGGGCAGTATAGCCATTTTCACGATATTAATTCTTCCTAACCATGAACATGGAATGTTCTCCATCTGTTTGTTTCCTCTCTTATTTCATTGAGCAGTGGTTTGTAGATTTCCTTGAAGAGGTCCCTTATGTTCCTCGTGAGTTGTATTCCTAGGTATTTAATTCTTTTTGTAGCAATTGTGAATGGCAATTCATTCTTGATTTGGCTTTCTTTAAGTCTGTTATTGGTGTATAGGAATGCTTGTGATTTTTGCACATTGATTTTATATCCTGAGACTTTGCTGAAGTTGCTTATTAGTTTCAGGAGTTTTTGGGCTGAGGCAATGGGGTCTTCTAGGTGTACTGTCATGTCATCTGCAAAGAGTGACAATTTGGCTTCCACCTTTCCTATTTGAATACCCTTTCTTTTTCTTGCCTGATTGCTCTGGCTAGAACTTCCTGTACTATATTGAATAGGAGTAGTGAAAGAGGGCATCCTTGTCTAGTGCCGGGTTTCAAAGGGAATGCTTCCAGTTGAGCACTGTAAATTTTTATTCTTTGTTAGTTTGAGGGAGGGAAAATGGTATTTGTATATTAGTATACGTTTATCACTAGAAGGTCTGAAAATTTTAAATATGCTTTTAGCCATCTGAATTTTCTCTTCTGTGACATGCCTATTCAAACCTTTTGCTGATTTTCTATGGGGCTCTGGATGTTTTCCCTACAAATTTGTTTGAGTTCTTGGGATAGTAAGAAGATCAATCTTTTATGAGTTATAATCAAAAAGAACAATTTTCCCAGTTTGCCTTTCACTTTTTTGTTTATAATCTTTCTGATTTCATACAGAGGTTTGACATTATATGTGGCCAGATTATTTATATTTTTGCTTTGTGATTTCTTTATTTTTATATTAGAAAGTCCTTAGTGACATAAACACTAAATTCATGGCCATATACCTCCTATTCTGGTGTTTTATGTTTTCATTTTCTGGATTAACTGTTATTGAGTTCTGTAAGGTCTGGGTTGAACTCACTCTTTGATTTCTAGGGAAGACCAGAGCTCTGGGAATCCTGAGCCCAGTTAGAAGCCAACAGACTCAGAACCAGAGTTGGGAGTAGATCTTGGACAGAGGGTAGAAAAAGGACTTCCTGAGTCTCATATGTGGCTATATGGCTTACCATTAGATAAGAATGATTTCCTTGGTGAAATTAAGGGTTGATTTGAGTAAATCTGAGTTTATTATGTTATCTATCAGTCCATAACATATAAAATTATCTTGAAATCTCAATGGCTTGCATATGGCTGTAGACTACCCCTGTGAAAGAATGGGCAGGGTTTGTGTATCATTATAACCCAAAAGGTGGTTTTGCTTGGAGACTAGAAATGAGATGGTGGGAAAAGGAAGCAGCACAAGTGGGTGGGGTGATATTTTTTCTCCTCATGAGAATGAAGATGGGTGGGTATTGAGTGAAAATGAAGGAAGCCTTTGAAAGGAAGAAAGAAAGGAGGAATCGGGGCTTTTGGGTATTCTAGAATAGAATTCTTACACACATTTAATATTCTAGAATAGAATTCTTACACACATTTATTGAGTGAAGATTCCAAATCAAAGACTTTACTCTAATTAATATTCCTTTTATAGCATAAAACAAACAAAACCAGAAAGGTTTGCAAAGTCCTTAATCTCCTTACAGTTCTAAACATTACTTTTTGTTTCCTGGTGGTTGACTGATATCGATTTATTATTAATGACATCTCATACATTGTAATCTACATGTCAATATTTAAAATTAACATGAAGGAAAACATAAACTCTGCAAGGCAGTTTAGTTGACATAAGCACAAGTGTAGATATGCTGTCTCTGCTCATATGACACTTTCAAAGCAATGATTAAAAACCAGTGACAACTGAAATCAATTCTCTCAGGTGCCAAAGAAAAAAGATACATATTGCAGGATGTGTGAATATATGTCCAGACAGTTTTCTAAAAAACAATTTACTATTGATCTTGTTCAAAATTATCCCTGTCGAATCCTTCCCAAATCATTTTATGAGACTAACATCATTCTGATACCAAAACCCGGCAGAGACTCAACAAGAAAAGAAAACTTCAGGCCAATGTCCATGATGAACATAGATGCAAAAATCTTCAATAAAATACTGGCAAGCCAATTGCAACAGAACATCAAAAAGCTTTTCCACCATGATCAAGTAGGATTCATCCCGGGGATGCAAGGCTGGTTCAACATACGCAAGTATATAAACGTAACTCACCACATCAACAGAACCAAAAACAAAAACCACATGATTATCTCAATTGATACAGAGAAGGCCTTTGACAAAATTCAACAGCCCTTTATGCTAACAACCCTCAATAAACTCGGTATCGATGGAACATATCTCAGAATAATAAAAGCTGTTTACGACAAACCAACAGCCCATACTGAATGGGCAAAAACTGGAAGCATTCCCTTTCAAATCTGGCACTAGACAAGGATGCCCTCTCTCACCATTCCTATTCGATATAGTACTGGACGTTCTGGCCAGAGCAATCAGGCAAGAAAAAGAAATAAAGGGTATTCAAATAGGAAAGGTGGAAGCCAAATTGTCTCTATTTGCAGACAACATGATAGTATATCTAGAAGACCCCATCGTCTCAGCCCCAAAACTCCTGAAACTTTTAAGCAACTTCAGCAAAGTCTCAGGATACAAAATCAATGTGCAAAAATCACAAGCATTCCTATACACGAATAACAGACTTAAAGAGAGCCAAATCAAGAACAAACTGCCATTCACAATTGCCACAAAGAGAATAAAATACCTAGGAATACAACTAACAAGGAATGTACAGGACCTCTTCAAGGAGAACTACAAACCACTGCTCAACAAAATAAGAGAGGACACAAACAGATGGAGAAACATTCCATGTTCATGGTTAGGAAGAATCAATATCAAGAAAATGGCTATACTGCCCAAAGTAATTTACGGAATCAATGCTATCCCCATCAAGCTACCAATGACCTTCTTCACAGAACTAGAAAAAACTACCTTAAACATATGGAACCAAAACAGAGCCCACATAGCCAAGTCAATTCTAAGTAAAAAGAACACAGCAGGAGGCATCACACTACTGGACTTCAAACTATACTACAAGGCTACAGTAATCAAAACAGCATGGTACTGGTACCAAAACAGAGATATAGACCAATGGAACAAAACAGAGGCAACGGATGCAACACAACATATCTACGATCATATAATCTTTGATAAACCTGACAAAAACAAGCCATGGGGAAAGGACTCCTTGTTTAATAAATGGTGTTGGGAAAACTGGCTAGCCAGGTGCAGAAAGCAGAAACTGGACCCCTTCCTGATACCTTACACTAAAATTAACTCCAGATGGATTAAAGACTTTTACATAAGACCTGGCACCATAAAAACCCTAGAAGAAAATCTAGGCAAAACCATTCAGGACATAGGAGTAGGCAAGGACTTCATGACCAAAACACCAAAAGCATTGGCAACAAAAGCCAGAATAGACAAATGGGACCTAATCAAACTCCACAGCTTCTGCATGGCAAAAGAAACAGTCACTAGAGTGAATCGGCAGCCAACAGAATGGGAAAAAATTTTTGCAGTTTACCCATCTGACAAAGGGCTGATATCCAGAATTTACAAAGAACTCAAACAGATTTACAGGAAAGAAACAAACAAGACCATTCAAAAATGGGCAAAGGATATGAACAGACACTTTACAAAAGAAGACATACATGAGGCCAACAAACATATGAAAAAATGCTCATCATCACTGGTCATTAGAGAAACGCAAATCAAAACCACATTGAGATACCATCTCACACCAATTAGAATGGTGATCATTAAAAAATCTGGAGACAACAGATGCTGGAGAGGATGTGGAGAAATAGGAACACTTTTACACTGCTGGAGGGAGTGTAAATTAGTTCAACCATTGTGGAAGACAGTGTGGTGATTCCTCAGGGACCTAGAAATAGAAATTACATTTGACCCAGCAATCCCATTACTGGGTATATATTTAAAGGATTATAAATTGTCCTACTATAAAGACACATGCACACGAATGTTCATTGCAGCACTGTTTACAATAGCAAAGACCTGTAATCAACCCAAATGCCCATCGATGATAGACTGGACAGGGAAAATGTGGCACATATACACCATGGAATATTATGCAGCACTCAAAAATGACGAATTCGTGTCCTTTGTAGGGACATGGATGAACCTTGAGAACATCATTCTCAGCAAAATGACACAAGAACAGAAAATGAAATACCACATGTTCTCACTCATAGGCAGGTGTTGAACAATGAGAACACATGGACACAGGGAGGGGAGCACTACACACTGGGGTCTGTTGGGGGAAATAGGGGAGGGGCAGCGGGGGGGGCGTTGAGGAGAGATCGCATGGGGAGAAATGCCAGATATAGGTGAAGGGAAGGAAGGCAGCAAATCACATTGCCACGTGTGTACCTATGAAACTATCTTGCATGTTCTTCACATGTACCCCAAAACCGAAAATGCAATAACAAAAAAATTATCCCTGTCCCTCAATATATTAAGAAAACCTCAATTAGCAAGAACACTCTAAGAGGAGGTCAACCTAGCCAATTTAATTATCTTGTACACACTTTCCTTGAAAAGTTGTTTTATTTCAATCTTTACTGAGAATCTTCACATTTGATTATCTTATGAAGTAATGGCGAGATTTGCCATTAAATGGTTGACTAAAATCTTGCAAATACTATGGGTAGAAGTTTTCTACATTGTGGTAGTAGAACTGTTTGTGTCAGAAGAGAGAGAGATGGAGAGGAGGGGAGAGAGAAGGAAGAGAAAGAGACAGAAACAGCGCAAGTGAGATATTCTTATCCTCACTGGCTGCTAGGGTGCAAACACTGGCTTAGACTCCACTGATCAGAGGCATTTTGGCCAGTGGAAGTCGCCATATGAAAACAAGCAGGATTCAGAGCATCCTCTCTGCTGATATGGGAGCAGCAGAGGCAGAATTGTTCTGTTTGGGTCATAGAAACTCCCTTAACAGGTCAATGCTGGGACTGGTTCTGGGTGAGGTTTTTGGAAGCACAACTTGATAAACTTGTTCTTCTACCTCTTCTTAGGATTCTGTGAGCTTCCCCAATATCACTTATTAAATTCCTTCCTGCTTAAATGGCTGTGATCTCTTACTAAGGACTTGATCCAGTACAAGGGGCATGAAATCTGTCTTTGATGACTGAAGACTAACTTGCTTAAGAGTCATCACTCTGGGTATGAATTTTCATGATGTAGAAATGGTATTATTAGTAGCTAATACTTATTGAGTAATCACCATGTCCTATGCTGTGCTAATTACTTTACATGCATTATCTCATGCAATCCTTAAACAAATGGAATAAGTAGGTATAACTATTGTCTTCACTTTACTAGTGAGCAGATGGAGGCGTGATGGTTAGGTGACTTGCCCATGGTCACACAGGGAGCACATGGGGATGTCAGGACTTTAATCCTTATAGGTTGGCTCTAGTGCCTGACCTCTTAAGCACCATGTCACACTGCAGAAAAGACAGAACACTTGGCTCTTTTTAAATTGACCAGCTTCATAAATCCAGAGTTGATCACAGTTTATTTCTTTGTGATTTATCAGTTTCTCTTAAAGTACAAAAAAATCTGTTATATAACATGTATAAATTGTTAGATTCTGGACAACTGAGATATTTATTATTGTGAAACATTATAACTACAATTTTTATGAATTACCTAAAAGCCCCAAACAAATTATAAATAGATACACATAATAGTTTTTCTGCAGTAATCAGAGTAAAAAAGTCATAATTTTTATTTCTGGCACCTACATGACCAACTTCATAGTTGTGTGACCTTAGACATGTCATAGAAGCTTGGCAATCCTCAGTTTCCTTGTAGAATAGAAACCCAGTCATCTGACCTAATTAAATAGATAAAATGAATAATAACATAGGCTTACTGCAAGGATTCACCTAAGAATGTAAAAGTGCCTTACAACAATGTATACAAGTAACGGATCATATTATTAATTGTATTGTAATTAAGTTTACAGAATGATTTTGCCTATCTTAACCCATTTAAATTCCACCAAAAACCTTAGATAAGAGATATTATCCTCTTTGTGTATGAGAAACTGAATTTAAAAATTTATGACGTATACAAGGTCTCACCATGGATAAAAAGTAGAAAGGATCAGAAGCTAGACATTTAACTTGCAACTTTACCCGCCACCAAAAAAAATCTTTTATCAATAGTATGTATTTTTTTGGGGTGGAGGACAAGGCCTTGCCTTCTCTGTCACCCAGGCTGGAGTGCAGTGGTGCTATCAATGATCATTGCAGCTTCAAATCTCCTGGGCTCAAGTGATCCTCCAACCTCACTCTCCCAAGTAGCTGAGACTACAGACACATGCCACCATGCCTGGCTAATTTTTAAATTTTTAGTAGAGACAGGGTTTTGCTATGTTGCCCTGGCTGGTCATAAACTCCTGGCCTCAAGTGATCCTCCGGCTTCAGCCTCCAAAAGTGCTGGGATTACAGGCACACACCATCATGTCCAGGTAATTCTGTCTATTTTTTGTAGAGATACAGTCTCACTATGTTGCCCAGACTGCTAGCATATATTCTTCTTATTTTTATAATTTTCCTAGGATTATGGCATACTTTGTATTACATGTTTATTCTAATATGGCACTAGATGAAAGTAGTAGGCCCACTCACCTTTTTGACTTCATACTTAATGGCAAGTTTGACACGACTTAATGAAGCTTTGTGCCTGTGCACCTCCAGAGGCTCTGCTGATTCCAGATCTCCATTCAGAATGGCTTCCACCTCTTCTGAGTCTCGGCAGAGATCCAGCACACCCACTACAAAGTCTTTGCATTGCATGGAGAGCTTCCGATAGTCATTCTAAGAACAAGAGGTTTAGTGTTTTAACACAAAGAATTTGCTCTCGTTTAATGGAAAGTGTTTAGGATTTGTGTGAATTAGAAAAAGGTATCCCTTGTTTTGGGGGTAGAAACCTGCAGTCCTACCTGGACACAAGGCTTGTTGAGCTGAATACAGGCTGGACTTGCACCCACCCAACCCTTTAGCCAGGTTTCCTTCTGCTGCAACCAGCCCAACCTTATGAGATAGTTCTGAAAATGGCGTGTACATAATCTCATTTATATGTGGAATCTAAAAAAGTCAAACTCAGAATAGAACAGTGGCTACCATAGGCAGGGGGCAGGGGTAGGAGGTAGGGTGAAGTGGAGATGGAATGAGGAGATATTGGTCGAAGTGAGCAAAGTTTCAGTTAGACAGGAGAAATAACTTTTTGAGATCTATTTGCATAGCACAGTGACTAAAGCTTTAATACTGTATTATATGCTTCAAAATTGATTAGTACATTTCAAATGACTCATTACCACAAGAAGTAATGTGAGGTGACGGATATGTTAATTAGCTTGATTTAATCATTTCACAATGTATACATATATCAAAGCATCCATGGTACCCCATATACACAATAATTGTCAATTAAAATTTTTAAAACATATTTACTAAAAAATATTGTATACCAACAGACCAAAGGATCAAAGAGTTTTCTCTCTTTTGTATAAACAATAGTTCTTTTATAGCCAAAACAAGAACATTTCTACAATGGAAATTTTTCTATAATGATAATTTTTCTAAAATGGCAATTTGATATAGAAGATCAACTATATGTGATATGAAAATTGTCAGAATCAAAACTAAGTCCACTGTGTTAAAAACAACACAAAACAAAAAAATCTTGACTAATAGAGAAGGCCATGAAGGGATGGTTCTCACACACAAAAACTATCACAAAAGGCTGCACAAATCATTACCTTGCATAAAGGCCATTGCAACCTTATACAAAAACTACCTCTGTGAGGACATCTGCCCAGCAACTGCTGGTACAATTTTGGACTGGCTCCACCTTTGTTATTGTTCCTTGAGTGTAGCCCTCCTCACTTTCCTTTAAAAACCTTGACTTTCTTTACCTCCCTGAATACACGCATCGTTTACCATGTCTCTTGTATTCCTACTGCAATGTTACATTCCCAAATAAATGTCATTTTCTATTTCTTTAATTTTTTTTTTTTTTTTTTTTGTGACAGAATCTTGCTCTGTCACCCAGGCTGGAGTGCAGTGGCAGGATCTCAGCTCACTGCAACCTCCACCTCCTGGGTTCAAGCAATTCTCCTGCCTCATTCTCCCAAACAGCTGGGATTACAGGCATGTGACACCACACCCAGCTATTTCTTCTATTTTCAGTAGAGATGGGGTTTCACCATTTTGGCCAGGTTGGTCTTGAACTCCTGTCCTCTAATGATCCGCCCACCTTGGCTTCCCAAAGTGCTGGGATTACAGGCATGAGTCATTGCACCCAGCCTCATTTTCTTTTAGATAACTTCTCTCTTGGTTATTTAGGTTGACAGTGAAAAATAACTAGTCCAGCTCATTACCCTTGCCTTACTGGAGACATTGCTTCTGAATGTTCAGTCCTCAGACCAGCAGCATCAGAAGCACCTGGGCATGTGTTAGAAATGCAGATTCTCAGACCCCAGCCCACATGTCCCGATTTAGAAACTGAGGAAGGGTCCCGCAATCTGTTTTAACACACCCTCCAGATGATTTTGACACATCTAATGTTTGAGACTAACTGGTTTCTAGCGAATGTAGAGAGGTAGATGAATACCCGACTGCATACAGAAGGTTTTTTGTTTGTTTGTCTGAAGGGCATATTATTGTGCCCTGCCGAACTAAAACAAAAGTATATCATTGTATGTAGTTGAATTCTCAAGGGTTACAGAATTCAGTACCTGAGAGAAAAATTTCCAGGCCACTGGAACTAACACCTTGCTAAAAATAATCTGTGAATCGTTAATTTCATTTGCGTATTTACATACTGCCATGGGCTGCTATAAGGAAGGCAGTTGGTAGCATTCTTTGTTACTTTCTGAATGGATCTTTATTTCTAATCCATTGGTTCTAATGAAGGTGTCAATGACCATCTCCTGGGAAAGTGTCTCTTTTTTGGAAACCCCAGTTCTACTTTTATGACTTTCACTAATACTCTGGCCCACTAGGAAAGTTAACCAGATAATAATCTAATGTGGAACACTTGAGAAAAACAGAATTCCCCATTGCAGCATGTCCTGAGATACTGTGTGTGTCTATATAACCAAGTAATATTTAGCAGAGCAGAATTACTGGACTTTCAAAAAAAAATCATACTTAAAAAAAAACGTGAACAATTCCAATTTTTTTTCCTTTAAATAATTAATTTGATTTGATGGGCAAAACCACATCATCAGCTAAAATAAACAAGAAGAAGAGAGACTGTTTAAAGGCTATACAGATTAGAATAGTTTCCATTTCAGATATCAGAAATTCAGATAAAGAACAGTTACAGTTAATCCTTTTCCCCTCATAAGAGAACAGATAAAATGAATAAAACTTCAATCTTTGGTTTCCATTCAAGTTGGTACCATGCAACTGATAAAATTAATAAAATGTTCAGTCTCTGGTTTCTGTGCAGAGTGTCAGTTAAATATCCATCTGCTTTCCATTCCTGAAAGACTAATGAAATATTTTATTACAGCATCCAGAAGAAGTATTAAATCAATGCCCGTTTCCATATAAAGCTTCCCTTTTAATACAGTTTTTTTTTAGATGAAATTTCCTCATGTTATTCTTCAGTTCAGACTGTTCTGTAAGATTTGGTACAACATAGGGTGGTCATTTCTCCATTGATCAGAAATAAAAAAAGGCTACTCTCCATGCTTTGAAGAAAACTTAGTACCCACATCTATAGTAATACCTAAATAATGATTCATTACCTATAAAATTATAGTCTATAAACTGTTAAATTTTAAGGAAAGCTTTTTTGCACATCTACTGAAAGATCAGTAAAGAAAAAAAAATGGTAGTCAAACATGTTGCAAGGATGGCACTTTTTATAACAATTTAAACATTTTCCACTTGAAGAAGTCTGTTGCCAGAGTGCAGAAAATAATCAGAGTTGGAGACAACGGTGATTTCTTTTGTTATAGTCATTGGATACCATTTTTTAAACATATTCAGAGCTCCCAGGGAAAGACAGAGAACTCCAGCAAAGAACAGCCTCTCTTCAGCTGCAAAAGCAACCATCTATGTATAGTCTGCACTGACTGTTAGTTCCACCGTGAGGCCCTGACTCATGTTACTTCACAGATCAGACCATTTGTCTGGTCTATATTTTCTAATAATTTTCTCTTAAGTTAGTTTTGCTTAATGGTCTTGAATGTACCACTCATCCATTACCACAACCCTCCACAGTTAGCAGGTGGACCTACTGCATACCCTATAGAGCAGAACTCAAAACCCTAAGGATCTGCTCAAGCCAGAGGAAGAACAATGAAGTTCAGTCTTCATCACAATCTATCTACAGGCTTCTGCACACTCCTTTAATATATATGGTTTAATTATCATTCAAATCCCTTTTTGTTCTGAAGAGGAAAGCTGAAATTCAACTCTTAACAGGCTTGGTTCTGTCAGGCCCTTTCATAGTGATTAAAAGCATAGATTCTGAACCCAGACTTCCTGGGCTCAAATACTGCCTTACCACCTACCAGCTGTGTGATCTTGTGGAATTCACTTTATCCTTGTGACATGAGTAATCCTACCCAATATTGGTACTATAAGGATTAGATGCTTAGAATGTGTTTGGTACAAATTAGGTGTTAAGAAGTGCTTCAATATTACTAGGTACATTATATTAGATATAATACCTAGGGCTGGGGCTCAACACACTCAAATCTAGGCTTAACATATAAAATGTTGCCTATAGCCTTTGTTTTATCATTTACAAAATGAAAGATGATTCTTATAGTATTTTCCTGCTACAAAATGTTATCTTGTGTTTGGATTATATTCATTTCTTTTCTTCCTTACAGCTGATACTAGGTGAAATTGCTTTTTTATTTAAGGAGAGGAAAAACTGAGGCACAGGGAAGCAAATACCTCTCCCCACTTCTTCCTTTTTACAAAAAAAGGTGCGCCATTGACTCAGTCAGAATTAGAAAATTTCAATTTGTGTTCTCACAGCTTAATAAATGACTGGCTTCCTTGCTGCTGACATTTTGGAGGATTAGACCTAGAGTCTATCCTGTCTAATATTCTGTTTCTCAGAATAGCTTCAAACAGCATTTGCACATCCAAAATATTTTTTTAATAACCTGTCACCAAGCTATCCTACATTATCTAAATCTGTATCCTAGAAGGTTTGACCTCTTAGGGTATTGACCTTCATATGTTTTCGGCACCATGCCTACTGTATTCCTCAAAGAAATGTGAAAACTGCAGAGTGGCTAAGAATCTTCTCTGAAGCATCTAAATGATGGCAGTTTCAGGGGTGAGATACCAGATATTACAGACCATTGATAAGATAAACTATAGGTGTCTTAAAAGGAAAAAAGTCACCTCTTTTTCACTAGAGAAACTCATTATCTATTTTTTTATTTCAAGGCTAGTGCTTTAAGCTCAAAGTCCTCATGGGAAGAATATAGCGAACACCATGGAATAGGGCAAATTAGGTTACCTGCTTGCCTCAGAAATGAGCTTCACTTTCACTGCCCTTTCAGAGCTCAGAGTCTCTGGGTCAGTGCTATGAAAGCACTATTTTCTCTGTCTGTCTAAAGCCCTGACAGATGGACATGAACATGGGATAACAGGGGGAAAAGGTGAAAGAAAGGCAGATAAGAAAAAAATAATAAGGACAGGTAAGAATGAGAAAGAAAAGGCATACTCAGGGGAGAGAGGCACAAAATCCTTGGAGACTATAACTTCTAAAGAACTGTCCTAATTTTGACTCAGAGAGGGTTGTCTTGCTACATAAGTGCTTTCCATATAATCTAGAAAAAAAGAACTGGGATATTTAGAGGATTTTTGCATATCCTTATAGATATTTGGCAGCTTTACAGATGTCCTCTAGAACCCAATTATGTTTTCTCCCCTTTTTGCCTCTTTATTTATGATATTTCCTCACCCTTGAAAGGTTATCAGAGGTGACCCTCTAAGTCAAAATAAAAAAGATTGTAAGCATTACCAATACGGATTTAGCCAGCTTCATAGTAAAACTATGCATAACAAATTCTCTTACCATGGCTGCACTGAGATGACGTCTCTGGGTAGAATTGCAAACATCACTATCTTTAGTAAATTATTAAAACATGATCTTAGAAAATATTCCCTTTTATAGAATCTCTTGCAGACGTTCAGTATATATCAAGAAAAATGTGTATAAACAAGTTTGCATGCCATTTGAAATAGTGGCAAATAAATATGTTGAGAATTATTTTTTATTACTGTTTCAAAATAACAAAGTGATATTTACAAGTGCTTTACCTAAATGCTTTTCTACTCTCTCTAAACAGAATTTAGAGTTTTCAACTGGATCTGAGTTCTATCTAAAAAAAAATTCATTTTGGGTTCAAGTAAATAAATCTTTTCAAATACCACATAATGAATCTCTTCAAAGGGATTAGACATAAGGTAATATTTTATTCTTTGTATTTTCTCTTTTTTGGAAAATTTTTACAATAAATGTATGTAGCTTTTACATCAGAAAATATTTTTAATGGACTAACAAAATTATAGTAGGTCCAGACCTCTACTGGGACAAAATGAGGGTTGATGAATATCCAGAGAATTTTTTGTGTATTAAAAAGGGATGGGACAACTTTCCCACCATTTTCTTGCAACATCAGGGCAAAGAATATTTCCTGTAACCTTAATGATATTGCTAGTTGCATTTGTGTAAATCTCACTAACTATAAAAACCATATTCAGCTGTGAAAGTATAATTACTTCATCTGTGATCTGACAACACAACACTAAACTAAAAAGATTAACTTAGCATGTAGAAAGTAATTCAAGGAATTGATGTCTACAATCATCTTCTTAGATGGGAAATGGGAGACAAGAACCTGCCAAAAACAGTCTAAATGATTTTGACCAGAACTAAAAAATACCCAGATTTAGTAGTTAGAACCAATCAAAACGCCTAGGAGGATGTAGCAACTGACCAAAAAATAAAAATGATCTGTCATTATTATATAATTTTTATAAAAATAAATAATACTGCTTGATTGAAGATAATGCCCTGAAAAAAAAAAGTTTACTCAAAAAAAAATCCATTAAAGCAAATCAGTTTGCTGTCCTCGTATTTCTAGATTGAACTGATATCCACGGCTCACCATTCTGAATGTACGTTTGTGGAATTCAGGGAGAGGCATTTTGTCATATCAGTGAAATGACTTTAATAGTATTTTTTACTGGTCTTTTGGCTTTTGATTCTAAAGGGATATACAAATGCTTGGGCCAATGAACAGCGCATTCAAAACTAACACTATTGCGGAGACGGAATGGGAGCTTGCTCCGTCTGGTTCACCACAGACCTAGTATTGCAGGACCTCCAGAAACGGTACACTCCCTCAGGGGGAATAAAACAAACTAATATTACTTATGTGTTGGATGCCACCATACAACTAACTACAAAACAGGAGGAAGGATTTGGAAGACAAAAAGTCACACCAAAACCCTCCTTTGAGCAAAAAAGGGAGAAGTCTTGAGTTTTATTTAATGTTTACCCAGAACACAGAGCGGCGACATAATTATAGCTCTCTGATCCAGAATACTGGATCCCCAAAGCGAATGTGTCACAGCACCATCATTGAGAGGGAGAAAGAAAACATCAGCTGAGGTCTGAATGATGCTCTCAGTCCCTCATGATTTCACATTCACTGGGCAAAACCGAATGTGGAGCGAAGGGTGGCGGAGCGGGCCAGGCAGCCTCCGGGAAGCGGGTGAGTCTACAGAGCAGCGCGGGTAGAGCGCAAAGCTTACCTTGAACTCCTTCTCTATGTTGGCCAACTTGGCCAGCTCGTTGCTGAGCTCTAGGGCCGTGAGCACCGGGTCCTCGCTGGACAAGGAGAGGTATGCCGGGCTGGCCAGCCCCTTGTAGGCGTTGATCCTCGAGCGCGAGTGGCTGAAGGAGTCATGTCTCTGCTTCTCCGTGCAGTCCCCGCACTTGCAGAAATAGTCGTGCGGCCGCTCGATCCTGGCGCCCTTCATCAGCAGCATGTGCACCACTTCGTACTTCTGGCAGTGCGCCGCCAGGATGATGGGGGTGATGTCTGGCGAGAAGCGCGTGCCGTCCTCGTCGTAAGCGTAGAAGTCGTCATCCTGCAGCTCCTGCTCGCAGGGGCTCAGAGTGAGGCGCTTGCTAGCCGCGAAGCCAGGGTGGTTGAGGATGGCCTCTACAATGCGCACATAGCCTTTGCTGATGGCGAGCAGCAGGGCGTCACCGATGCGCGCCAGGTTCTCCTTCTTGAGCAGCAGCTCGGTCACCTCCAGATGCTCGTTGCCCACGGCCAGCTGCAGCGCGTTCTGGCCCATATAGTCCACGCAGTTGACGTTCAGCGTCTTGGACTCCTCCAGCATCTTTCGCACCACTGGGATGTTGCCGTACTCCGCGGCATCGAGGAAGCGCTCCTCCTCGGCGGTGAGGCTGGTCCCCCGATTGTTGAACATGAAGGCCGGGCCCCTGACAGCCTGGCGCCGGCCCTTCTCCCGCATCACCGTCATGCGTCTCAAGGATGGGCTTCCCTCCATGGACCTAATCAGTAGCAACGATAAAACAACTGTAGAATATTAGGGCATATTCCTTCCTTTCACATGTCAGGGCCCTTTCTGGAATACACAGTACCTACTGCAAACCTCTGGCTGTGCAGGGCCGGCTCAGTTGCTAGCCATACCATTGCCAACTACTTCCCTGAAAGTGACACCTCTATCTAACACTGGCTGCTAGATCCCAGAAAGGGGCTGGTAGCCCTTCAGAACAAATGCTCCTGTTCTCTAGAAAATGACATTCAGATGGAATAATAAAAAAAAATTCTATATACCCATGCCTTTCTTGTGACCCTAGTAAAAATGAAACTCATCCTACCTTCCGCTCTTACAAGCCTGGACATTGAAACTAGCAGGTATTTGACATTAAAGCACTAGGCTTGAAGGCTACTGGAAGTTAATTTTTTTCAAGGATGAGGCCAAGTCATTGCATCCTTTTAACTAGATAAAATCATTGACTCTCAGCCCCCTAAAAACGTGCAGGATTTAGGCTGAGTATCATCTTGCAGGATCTGAGTTTTATGATCCTTTTATTTTTATTTTAAAATTTTTGTTTGTTTAAATATTTTTTTAGAGACAGGGTCTCTATGGCACAAGCTAGAGTGCAGTGGCAAGATCACAGCTGCAGCCCTGAACTCTTAGGCTCAAGCAATCCTCCACCTCAGACCCCAAGTAGCTAGAACTACAGGCACATGCCACCGGCTGCCACACCCTCCACCTCATGCTTTTCTCTTAAGGGAATTCACCATCCCCAATTACAGGATTTATCTTTTCAAAGATGCAGACAAGATTTAGCAGTTATCAAATCTAAGCATCAACCTAGATTTATTTTATTGAAAACAAGTGTGGCTTTGTAATGAGAAATATTTAATTATCAGTATTATATATTTGCCTGTTGGAATGAAAAGGATAAGGTTTGATTATGGTTTGAAAATCACTAGAATTACATTATGAGTAAAGCAACTAGGCACTAATCATACATCCAGATCAATGCACAATGAAATCCTAACACCAACCACATTCGTTGAGATTTATTTAGCGGCATTATAAAAGTTGTATCAATTGATGTGTACAGTGATTTCAGCTTACATCTTAATTTCTGTGAAGTTAGGTAAATAATTTCATTTCCTTATATATCCTTATGCCAGGTACAAAATGGAAATTTATAAAGTTCTCCAGATTTTCCTCATAAATAAAAAGCTTTTTTTAGAAATTCAGTCTCTGAAAAACAATGCTAAATACTTTTAACATTGTGACTGTGTATAATCTTTCAATAATCTGTATAATATTTTGGTGGCTATTAAAATATTGCATACATATTGTATAAATCTATATCTTTACCTTACCCAGTTCCAACATTCAAGATAACTTCCTTTTAAAGCTGTGATTTTTTGATGGGATGAATTGTACCAAAAGGTACCAAATAAAGCTTTTTCCACATTACTGACTTCTGAAGCAAATAAGTCAAAGTTAAAAGTGAATGGCTATAAAAGAAAGTGCTTTATTTCTAGAATATATATTCCAGAAATACCTCCTACCATTGAAAAAAACTATATTCGTGGAGTTAGGAGTTGAAAATTAACTAGAGAGGACACTGGTCTCCACGGATACCTAAAGGTGGACAACTAAATTGGGAAACTTCCCTGGCAAGAAGAATCAGAGGCAGCTACCAGTGCCCACTCCGTTTACAGCTCTGAGGGTCCCAAACAGAGAGAGAAGCACAGAAGCTACTGGCAGAAGGTCTCCCAGATAGGAACTAAGGATATGTGGCCAGGCAAGCCTCACTCTATAGAGGTATGGCAACTAAAGAGGTCCCCAGAGAGGCCTGTTGACTTATTCAAGGACACAGTGCTGTGACTGGCACCCAATTCTAATGACTCAACTAGTGTCAAGTGATCAACTTTTAGAAATTAAATAAACATTTGTTTTATATACACATATGTATTTCTAGTAATTTCTAGAAATCAACACATGAAGCTTTTAAAGTTTTATCTGGACTAAGACTAAGAAGTCACAGAGGAAGGGGGACTTTCACTTTTCATTATACCCTCTTGCACATTTTGAACAGTTTTAACCACTGTTTGAATCTCTTTATTAAACATAAAATCAATGTTTTAAATTTTTATTAATTTTATTTTTTAATCCCTTCGTTGACAAAAATGTTAAAATATAAGCACTTATTGGAAACCATTACATTATAATCTTTCTGAAGTAAAATAAATGTCCTGTGTTTGGCTGTTATGAGTAGGTTATGATGTGTAGCAGAGAGCATGGAGTGGAATGTATGATGTGTGGTATGTGTGGGAGATAAGAGTGAGGTGCAAGTCTGACTTGGGGGACATGTGAAGGGTGTGTGTGTGTGTGTGTGTGTGTGTGCGTGCGCATTGGTATAATAACTACTTTTAGGTGGACAAGAACTATATAGAAGAGAACCGTGTTTCAAGACCAAACTCTATGACAAGGATTTTAAACAAATATTATGGTAATAAATATATTTTATGACTCTTAGTGGTACTGACTTCATTGGGTTAATATTTTAATTACTAGTCTATGAACTGATATTCTTCAAATGGCTAGAAATCCCATGTTTTATAAAATATCATACATTGATGAGAAGCTATATATGCAGAGTATACATGTCAGAATCTAAATACTCAGAGGGGTTATCTTTGGGAAAATAAACTTTTATTAAAGTGTCAGATCTTGGTGGAAAGGCTTTTAATTTAATGATTGCTACCTACAAGGAAAATCACTTATAAAAATCCTACTATTTATCACAAAACAGACCAGGTTGAGAATATTAGGACATGATTCTTTCATGAATATTTTCTTTATTTTCCAAGTATTTTAAGTTTTTTCTTAATACTTTTTATTCCTTCAGAACCTATACCTCCATACTATATATTTGAACTGAAATGTGTGATTTTAGTACAAGTCACATGTCATTTTTATTTTGTCTTTAAAAAATTCTGACAATGAGTTAAGTGAGAAGTCAGATATCTCAATTAGAACAAATTATATTGTTATTTCAAAATAAAAGAGCTGACTTAATGTCACTCATAGTAAATTCACAAATGGAAGGATTTTTTTTAACTTTCCTTATAGTACCAAGATAAATTTCATTAATCTGAACTGATGGAATGAGTCAACATTCACATCATCCACAATGTATAAACAATCTCAGCTGGCTTTGACAATGTATCTCTTCTAGCATGAAAAATAAGGAAGGAATGGGGATGAATGGGAGAGAATATTTAATAATGTTAACACTAAAATTATTTTGCCAGGAATTTCCTACCCTTAGATCTTCATCCAATGCATCATTCAACACTGAGAGTACATTCTGCAGGGACTTCTTTCTGGTAAAAGCACTGGAGCACCACTGACTGCAAATCAGGAGATCTGTGAGAGCCATGTTTAAGCTCCTTTTGGCTAACACAGAGAGCTAGTAATATCTAACTTCTATGGACCAAATTGCGTCCTTACAAAACTAATATGTTGAAATCCTAACCCTTAATGTGATAGTATTTGGATACAGAACGTTTGGGAGATTAATTATGAAATCATAGGCTCATAAAGATGAGGCTCTGATGATGGGATTAGTGCCTTTATAGGACAAGAGGGCTTGCTTCCCTCACCCGGCTACCTCCTATGTGAAAAAACATTGAGAAGGTGGCCACCTTTAAAGTACCTCTCCAGAAACCGAACATACTGGCACTCTGATCTCAGACTTCCAGCCTCCAGAACTGGAAGAAAATACATTTCTGTGTTGTTGTTGCTGTTTTTTTAAGCCACCCATTCTATGATATTTTGTCGTGGCAGCCTGAATGAAGACACTGACAATATATTTTAAGGCAAAACATATTTTTTTATGCATTTTGGGATTCTATAATTTGTCCCAACACTTAAGCAGATGAAAGGCTCTTCTGAGAAATATTGTAATGGAGCCATAGGGAAGCCTCTGCTATACTCTATTCAGAGCAAAAATACAAGTTAACACTCATCAGTTTTCCTAACTTTGCCATTAACTCATCTGACCTCTAATGGGGTTTCTCTCAGTGTGACCCAAGTACTGCCCACCTTAAGGTCACTCGGACTGCTTGTTGAAATCAGATTTCTAGGCCCCATTCTAGATGAACTAAATCAGAATCTCTCATGGTTGGATGCTGAAATATGTACTTAAATGAAAGTACTTTACAATTCCTGGGAACTTCCAATATAAAAACAATGGAGCATCCTGGATCAATGACCCCAGACTATGAGGCCTTCAAGCAATTGTCACTCTGGTCCTGCCAAAAATCAAGTTGAAATAACATGTTCGAGCAGCACAGGCTAAAAGAGAAGTAGCCTCACATTCATTTAGTTTCCCTAAACTTTACTATTTGAAATTTGGTCTCCAGGAAGCTATGTACCTAAACCACAGCACAGCAAGTAGGTAGCCTACAGAAATGCCTTCAGTAGGGACCATTTAATGTCAAGATCTTGCTTTATGAAGGAGTGATATTTTTAAAGGTTATTGTATTTTTTCAAAAACAAAGAGTCAAAAAAAGATTGTTTACTATAGTATTCATTGTACCTTTTATGAGGATTAAAGTGCCAAAGTCAACCTAGAATTGTAAATCAAGAAGCCTCTCTTCAGATGAGATTTTGTCCCTTAATCTAATAATATAAACTATCTAACCCTCACTTCCCCGCACCCCTCTTAGGGTATCCAGGAATACAGCTAGGAACTAAAACTGCTCAATTATTGTTACTATCTTATTCCAAATTTCTGGCACAGTCTTTCTCTTTTTTAAAATGATTTCTCACATAGATTTAAAACCAAATATCCGATAGTCCATGTGTTTTAAGCTTGTTTTCAGTTATCTGAGTCTTTTTTTTTTTTTTTTTTTTTTTTTTGAGACAGAGTCTTACTCTGTCACCCAGGCTGGAGTGTAGTGGCAGGATCTCGGCTCACTGCAACCTCCACCTCCCAAGGTCAAGTGTCTG